TTGAATTAATTTTCGCAGAAGCATCCAAAATCTAAATGAAGTAAATATGGAATGAAAAAGAGATTTTTATAATGTTTGGACACCGTTTTGCCACGTGATTTTTCGGTGAATTTGCATTGGCACAAATTATTAAATCCCCAATCAAATGTTTTTGGTACCGTTGCACAGAATTCGCGCATGGTCAGCAGTCAATTATCAAGTTTTACAAACATGTCATGTCGCATGATATTTTTTATGCAACTAAAAAGCCTAATCCATATAAATATGCGTATGACGCTCTTTTGAAAAGGGTCATTGAAGCGCACTACATGAAAACATGTTTATATACTTAAATGTTATTTTATTGAAACGAATTTAATTAAGAGTTTTTTTGATTTTAATTTAATTTAATATTTGGGAATACTTTTGAATTTCCTTTTAGGCCAACTTTTTCATTTTTTAGGCTATTTATTTAGTGCTTTATGTTATTTTTCAATTTTTGGGTTATCACTCAAAAACTGTTTGATTTTACCATTTTGCTTTTTATCGGCTTGCTTGTCTTTGACAACGAGAAACAAAATTGTATTTTTTACAACGTTCAGACATTTCATCTTTTTAAACTCTGATGTGTTGTTTCTTCTCCCGAAACTTCTAATGGGGTAAATGCAAATTTTAACGGCCGTCCTAGTTCATTTCCAAGATGAAATTTAAAACTTTTAGGCTGGGAACGACATTCATCATCTCTACTTTTAATCAATTTGTGTAATTTTACCAAAATTCCAATTTCCTCTTTGCAAAGGTATCATCTTTTTACCTAAGAACTATATTTCAATTTTTTAGGTTTTAACATTGCATTGACCCCGGGGGTGATTTTTAAACGTGTTTTGGTATCTTTCTTCCCCGGAGAACTAAGTAAATATTCGTTTTCCAAAGTTTTCCAAAAATATATCCCATTATAACCCTTTTGCCCTTTTTTACATAGCTTAACGTTAATTATCTTTTCGTGCTGTTCAAGTTGGGAATTTTAATATCGTCATCACTCGTCGAATTTCTAGTAGGCAATTCCAATTTTTGGATTATTCGACAGAAAAAAGCAGGAGTGATAGGGATAAATTAGAAATGCACGGTCATCTCCCAACACTAAACTAAAGATTCTTGAAATTTATAAGTGTTCTATCTCTTTAATAATGGAGTTTTGTAACTGCAACTATTGATAACATTTTTTACAAATGGTTTTCTTTAAAGACCTTTTTAAACTTAAAGCACTAGCCTTTCGTAAAAGCCTCCCATCCCGGGAAACAACTTTTACGGGTTTTTTAAACCATTTTATACCAGCATTTAAACATAAAATCATTATTTTGCTTTTTAAAAATCTTTAAATTTCCAAAATATTGGGTCAAGAATTTTTTCTGCCGTAGAAAATTTTAAGGCCCTTTCACTGATAATTTAAGGGGAGGAAAACCCCTTTGTTTCTTAACAAATCTTCTGAAAACAGGAGAAATTCGCTGTTTTTATGGGCACCTACAATTTTTTATGAAATTTCTCTCGGGCAAAAGGGATGTAAAAAAGGCAAAAACCAAATTTTTTTTTCACGTTTTTATTTGTTTTTTTTATATTTAAAACCCATGTAAATTTTTCCAAATTTTTGGAAAAAGGAAAAACCCTTTGTTTCAAAAGGGATTTTGGGTTTGAGCAAAAAGGTGGGATTTTTGTACGGGCACCTTTTAAAAAATTTGGGGAGATATACCTATTTAAATACTGATTTTTGCAATAGCCACCTTGGGGGGAAAACCAAAAACATTTCGCACTAATAAAAAACTTTTTTAAACACCACTATGAAGAATTTTTTTTATGTGTTTTTGCTACAAATTTGAAATGGTATACCCGTCCCTTAAATTTTTGGGAGAAGTATCGGACAACGTGACTTTCACTTAAAGTCAGCATTTTCAAGTCCCCCCCTTTTCAGCGTAGGACCCTATGTATCAAAGTTTTAAAATTCCCAAACTGTTTTTGAATATTTTGCTTACCACTGAAATGGGTTTAAAAACGGGCTTTTTTAAATAATTTTTTGAATGTGTCTTTTTCCCATTTTTTTTCAAAACTCTTTAAAATTGGCTATAAGATTTTCCCCTTTTTGGGATTTTCATTTTTAGTTTTTCTCACAAATTTTAGCCCCAAGGGCAGTAAATTTTAAAAAGTTTTGTAAGTAAAAAAAAGTTGGCCTTTTTATTGTTAATGGACCAAATGTTTTCATCCCGAAATAGTGTTTTCAATTGTTTTCCAACGCGGGTTGTACCCAAATAAACTCCCCTAGGTTTTCTTTTAATTTAGATCTGTTTCTTCTTTTTTCACTTTTTTTGGTTTTTTTATTTCGGGAAATTTTAAATTGGGGATTCCTGGCATTTTTTAAGCCAAGCTGGGCCCCTTTTTACCAAAAATTTTTATTCATAAATTTTGGAAAAAGGGGGCCCCGGAAAAGCAATTCTGCTGGGTTTTCTTTAGATGGAAAATCGGGTTTTTAAAAATTTTTTAAATCTTTTTTATTTCATAAAAAAACGGTTTTTTTAAAGGTTAATTTATAATTCCTTTTTGTTTTGTAAAAACCAAAGTAGAACCCTTGCGAATCAAATCCATATGGATGAATCAATATTTTAAATGAAAGATGATTTTAAAAACCCGTAACATCGGAAAACCCATAACAAAAGCTAAGATTTTTGTCTTGTAAATTAGAGTTTTTTTTAAGGTGCTTTTTAAACGGGTTTTTGGGGAAAAATGAGATCTTTCTTTTTTGTATCTTCCCGACCGTTTGATTTTAAGTTTTACTTTCAAAAAGCGGTTTCGCTTTTTTGTTTTATGCATTTCCCAAAAAATTTCAAAGCCCATATTCAACTAGTTTTTGAAAAAAGTTTGGAATTTTAGATCTTTATCAGACTGTTTTCCCCGGTTTATTAGTTGTTTTTCTAATGAATTTCCTTTTTTTTGTCCCTTTTATCACTAAGGGAAACCCTCCACTTAAAGGGTTTATTTCCCCAATTCTTGTAGAAAAATAAAATTTTTAAACAAACAAAGGGGGAAAGGGTAATCAGCCTAGTGGATCGAAAATGGGTGAAAAGTATTTTAGAAATTTTTCCCTTTTCGTAGCAAAGAAGACTTTTGGAAAACCCTTTCTTTCAAAAACGATATGAAAGAGTATCAACTTTCCAGTTCCATTCAGCCCTAGCCACTTTCATTGATTTCACTTCTGCACGGTCTTCAGGAGAAAAAGAGTGAATTGACCTCTTCATTATTTGAAGCCCATTCTCTTAGATTCATAGATCCAGCATTGAATATAATTATTGCATCTTTATAAAGAATCTTCGCTTCTGTTATGTCTTTTGCACCTGTTATCATATTATCCACATAGATATCGTTTATTATTTTGTTTGATATTTCATTATGAAAAGTGTCAAGATCGCCCCTTACAGCGTAGGATTCCGTATGTATCAATGTAAATTCCAAGCTGTTGTTGAATATTGCTTTGCTTACCACTAGAAATGGCGTCAAATACGTCTTTGTAACATAATCTTTGAATGTGTCTTATCCACATGTTTTCAGACTCTTTTAAATTCGTCATATAAGATATACCTTGTTGTATTTTTTTCTTTTGTAGTTTTCTCTCACAAATCTTAGCACAAGAGCAGTAACTCTAAGATGTTTTGTAAGTGAAGAGAACCGTTGGCTGTTTATTGTTAATGGACCAGTGTTTTTCATCTGAACTAGTGTTTTAAAATTGTATTTGTGCCACGCGATTGGTTGTACGCAAACTAATCTCACTAGGTTTTTTTAAATTTTACGTATCTCAGATTCATAACTGTTCTCTTCTTTGCTATTATGCGGAACTTTAAAATTGGGGCCATTCACCTGGCTCATTTTTAAGCCAAGCTGGGCCTTCCCACCAAAGTTTGTTATTCATAAGATTTTGGGCACAGTGTGCGCACGAGATGCAATATCTGCTGGATTTGTCTTTAGATGGAACATAGGACATTGTAAAAATTTTCTGAAATCTTTTTTATTTCATTAACACGGGTTTTTTTAACGAATACTGATAATTTGCCTTTTTGTAATGTAACAAATGTAGAACACATTGCGAATCAGTCCATATGGATGAATCAAGTATTGGTAAATGAAGATGACTCTTAAACAAACGTAAACATCGTAAACCTATAACAAGAGCTAAGAGTTTTCTAGTCTTGTAATTGAGAGCTTTTTCAAAGGTGCTAATCGTGTTTTTTGAAAAGATGAGAATCTACTTTTGTTGTATCTTCTGACCGTTGATGTAAGTATAACTGCAACAGCGTACGCTTTTTTGTGATGCATCGCAGAAACATACAATCGATATTCAACTAGTTTTTGAACAGTTTGCAGATATAGATCTTGGTATCAGACAGACATGTTCCACGTTCATCAGTTGTTTCTCCTCATGAGATCCATTTCTTTTGATCTCATCAACTAAGGGCATCATCCAACCTCTAGGTGTTTATTCCACAGTTGTTGTAGAAAATATTTAGCAATCAAGGCTAACAGGACTAATCAACCTAGTGGATCGAAATGGATCAATGTTATTTTAGAATTTTCCCCTTTTCGTAGCAATGCAGACTATGGCATACGCATTTTTGCAGAACGATATGAAAGAGTATCATTTCCCCAAGTTTCCATTCAACCCTAGCATCTTTCATTGATTTCACTTCTGCCACGGTCTTCAGGAGAAAAGATGAACTTGACCTCTTCATTTTTGCAGCCCATTCTTTCTAGATTCATAGACCCAGCATTGAATATAATTTATTGCATCTTTATAGAAGAATCTTCGCTTCTGTTATGTCTTTTGCACCTGTTATCATATTTCACATAGACTATCTTTTATCTTTTTTGTTTGATATTTCCATAATGAAAGTGTCAAGATGATGTTCAATTGTAGCACCAAGAAAGAAAGGACTATGCACAACTCAAAAATGTACCCGAAAAAGCGAAAAACTCTTGTATGTTCATGCGTTAGTCATTGGATTGTCAATATCTTTTAACCATAAGAACCTTGTAACATCACGTTGATCTCTTTGAAGTTCTATTTGAAGGAACGCCCTCTCGATGTCGGCTACAATTGCGATCGGATGTTTTCGAAATCTCAACAATATTCCACATAAGTCATGAACCATAACAGGACCGCGATACAAGCAGTCGTTCACACTGTTATTTTCTTTTGAAGTCTTTGCCGATGCATCGTATACTACTCGAAGTTTGGTTGTTGTTTTTTGTGGTGTAATGACTCCATGGTGAGCTAGGTAATGCACAGTACCGTTTGATTTATTTGGTTTGACTTCTTCTATTATACCTTTCTGGAGTTGATCTTGAATCACATGATGATACTTTGTTAGTATGTCTGAATTGTTTTTCATACGATTTACTGTTGATTTTAATCTACCTAATGCTAAATCTCTATTTGTCGGTGAATCGGGACACTCATTTTTCTACGGCCACTTTACTTGGTATCTGCCGTTTTCATACTTAAGCGTTCTAGTAAAGTCTTCCCTGACTAGATCGTCTTCTTTTTGTGACTCTTTATCTACAATTCCAATACTTTCAACGTTCCAAAAGTCTTCTAGTTCTGTCTTTGGTGATAGTACATTATCTATAGCAGTGAATGCATTTGTACTGTTCTGTTTACTGCCAAATGTTAGAATGAGCAAATTATTGTCATTTGAATCATCGTATGTGTCCTTTATTCTACCACTTAGTATCCATCCAGACTTAGACGAAAGCAAATAAAGTCCATTTTGAAGTTCTAATTTTTTCACCATTTACAAAGTCTAGGTAGTAGTCGTTTCCAATCAAGAACTCAATTGACGAAGATTCACTTTCTTTTGGCATGGTGTCCGCCAATTGTACAGTTGATAGAATATCATTCACTCTATCTGAAAACAGATCTGGTGTTGGTTTCCTCTGTAATTCACCACTAATTAAAGGAACTATATTGGCGGTGATTTTGCACATATTTACCATTATTTAGCCTCACATCTAACCTTTACGTATTTTGTTTTAATTTTTTTGCTTTTGTATTCCCGAAAGTCACGACATGGATTCTTGTTCACCTTCCCCTTTTAGGCATAACCTTTGAGCTAATTTTTCTGAAATATAGCTTCGATGCGACCCAGAATCAAGTAATACTCGTACTTCTTTATCAGTTCTTTCACTTGGGTTTTTTTTTATTTTTGTTAGTGCAGTTTGCATAAGAACCATTTCGTTCATTGACATCAGTCCATTATCATTTCTACCATGAAATGAGTTTGTCATTGTATCTGATTCTGCTGCTTTATCAGATATAACATATGTTGACATTTTGAAATTGTCCATTGGACGATGAACTTCTTTGGACACAAGCTGCGATGGTGGGCGTTCATTTTGTCACAGTACACACACTTCTCGTTTGATTTACAATCTAAAGATAAATGTCCTTCCTTTAGGCACCTGAAACAACTGCCTTTTATGCGATCTTTTCTTTCACTTATTGTCTTGTATGTAATACACTCATCGCTCCAGTGATTTTGATTACAATATCGGCACCGTTTAATTGGATGCACGACGGTGCTGACTGGCTTCCGTTGTTGTCTAGAAGTGGAAAACTAGCGCCTGCGTTGATGTTTTCTGTACCGGTCCTTTGTAATATGTACTTTCTGCTTTTGTATGTGTGAAAGACCTTGCGTTGAATGTTTTTGAAGATGTATTTTCTCTTTGTTTCGAAGCTCCTGTTAGGGCTCTTTCACGTGCTACAATGTAAGCATACAATTTTTCCATTAACGTACGTACCGTCCATCTTTTGTCAGTTCCATTTTGTATTTCCAAATGTACTAGCACATCTTCAGGCAACTTTGATTTTACTATAGATACTACTATGTCCTGGTTTTACATTTTTCTTCTAAAACTTCCAAACTCCTTATATGTTGATCAACACCATCAAGCAAACATCGTAAACTATTGACTTTACTTGTAGCGATTGGAATGTTAATAAGCTGACTGTAATGCAAGTCAATAATTTCCTGTGTATAACCGAATCTCTTTCTCAAGATATCCACCGCCATTATGTAATTGTCACTAGTTAATGCCAACCCTGTTATCGCAGATTTTTGCTTAGCCAACTAGTTTTCCCTTCAGATAGTTAAACTTTTCAACATTTGATATGTATTTGTTGTTATGTACAGCATTTTCGAAGCTGTCCCAAAATTCTGTCCATCTTGTTTTGTCACCATTAAAACTGATCATATCTATCTTTGGAAGCTTAATTGATGACAGTTTCTCATTTTCTTTACGTTTTTCTTTTTCTTGTTGTCTCATCTGAGCTTCAAGTAACTGTTGAGTGTTCTTTTGAACCTCCACTAAATCATGTGTGTAATCCTTTTGATCAACTTTAAATTCTAATTTTTCTTTACTTTGCATCAACGTTTTAGTGAACACTTGTAAATTTTGACACATGTCGAAGGCTTTTTCACACAAGGTGAGATCTTCGTCAATAATTTCCTCAATCATCTCGCTTTCTTTTTTGTCAATCGATTCCACTAATTTTTCACTTTGTCTCTCAACCTTTTCTTTATATTCTTTTACCTTCTCAAAACATTTCGACACTTCGTTAAGCATTCTGTCTAAATCGAATTCCTCATCGATTTCTGTGTTCAACAGACCATCACCCTTTTGTATTTCTAAGTCTAAAATATTTCGGAACCTGGTCCTTACACCTTTAATATATTGTATACTCGCCATTTTCTGATGTAGAGAAATTTTAATTATATTTGTTTCACTTCACTTTTTATACTTAAAACATCTTTTAATCTACTTTTTTTCTTGTACTAACTTTGTACACACTTTTGACTTTAAATCGAATATTTCACATCTTTTTACTCTATAATTCCAGACATTTTTATATAGGCAAATGCTTTTTTTAAAACATGAATTTTTGTCTTTCTTTTCTAGATTTTCAATAAAGCCAACTTTCAACAGTCTTTCTGTTGATATTTAAGAACTCAGTTTACCTTTAAACTTTGTTTGATTTTCACGTTTAGACTTTTTCGTTTAACTTCTTTTCTCGACTTTTACACTTCCTTAACTTGTCTATATTAGATTCAAGAAGAGTTTTATACACTTTAACTGTAAACAGTTTTTTTAAATCCTTTTCTTCTTTATTGACTCCTTAAATGTTTCTTTTTAAATGTCCAGGTTTTTAAGATCCATCATTATTTATATATCTGTATATCCGTAGATCCGTATATCCGGTTCGCGGGACCATTTTGTAGTAGAGATAGATTTTGTTTTTGTTTTTGAGGACTGTATTAACTTTTAAGTCATCTCATATACTACAGATGGAACAACAACGTATACATTTTTTATAATTTTATTTATCATATCCTTTATGCATATTAACCAAGAAAAATACTTTGTAAAATGTAATTCCTTTTATTGTCACTTTTTATAAAATAGATTTAATTTTTCTTTAACAGTTTACTCTAGCACTTTTCGTTTCGTTCTCACTGTTCAACAATGTGCGATCGCTTATATACCGTCTGAAAAGGAGCGGGAAATACTTGTCATGTGACTATAATAATAACACGTTCTAGAAGTACCGTCCTCGGTACCGTTCCATAAATTTTAAGTGAACAATCGAGATAGCACCGCTCATATCACAATGACTCGCGTTATTCGCGACACTGGGGATGTCGCCATAGCAGGGCTGTACGATCTCTTACAACGACACAGGAGCTCTGCGGGCGCACACAGAACTTTCTAGCTGTCAGTTACAAGGAGATTACATGGCCTACTCACAATGTCAGCCACCCTCAAAGGAAGTGCTACTCTTGTTGCATCATCTTGATTGCTTTAAAGTGTATATTCACACACGCCATGCGGACATGTTAAAATACAAGTTTGCAAAATAAACTAGAGCGGGAAAAATAACAATAAGAAATGACCATTTATATATATGTCACATTCCCAAATACCATCAAAAGTTACCACAAACTATTAAACCATTTCCAATTCAAACGATATTTAGTTGACAAAACTTGTAAGATACGGACATGATAATATGAACAGAACAGAACATAACAGAAACTTTATTTCTTGGTTAAAGCATTAAAAGCTCAGGACCATATTACATATACAAATAAAACAAATAATACATAAATGACACATGGCATGAACATAATTGCAAAATAATGGTTTATGTAATGTGAGATTGTTTAAGAAATTACTTAAAAAGCATATGAAGACATGTATACAATACACATGAATTTATCTATCTTTACATAATTGTTCAATATCAAATTAAGCAACAGTTCATTTTCTTTTACGTTTGAGAAATTGGTAATGCCTATCAATATAATCCACAAAAAAAGAAACTCGCAGTTTTAATTGTGACAAATGAAGGGGAATAACTAATGTTACATTACATAACAAGTATTTTAATTCATTATTAACTTCATGAGCATTTTGTGAAAAATGGCTGTTTTCATTGAAAAGTCTCCCGTTGCAAGTTCAAAATTGCTATAAAACTATAAAAACTGCTTCAATACTAATCAAACTTGGCACAAGTGTTGACTGGACCGACTGGACCATTGCCTGTGCAACAACATGGTCTGGCTTAAATTTCCTGTTACCATGGCAACGAGGGGACATCTCAAAATTGCCTAAAATCACTATTTTGAGTTGATTTTAGTGATGCAACTTCTCAATGAATTGAGATAGAGTCAAGTGCTTTTCAGCGTTGGTTACACGTTACCTTATGATCAATGTTGGGTCATTTTAGCCTCTCACAAGTCCAAAATTTTCTTGCCGATGAGGGGTCTGCCGTCCCCTTTCACCCCCCCAACCCCCTGATGTATCTTTTGGTTGGGGGCCGCGCCGAAAAAGTGGTCACTTTTTAAACAACATTTCTCAAAGAAAAACAAGTATTGGGGGCTTAAATAAGGCATTTTTACACCATTTGAGACAACAAAAAGGGGGTGAAAAGGGCGTTAAAAGGCGTGTATATCGCGTAATGGGTTAACAGAAAATGATGAAAATGCTTGAAATCACCCAAAATTGCGCTTTTCCATGTTTAAACATGGCCTTACATATAAATTTGAAGAAAATTGTTGTTTTGTAGATTTTTTTTGATTTTTTTCATAAAACCATTACTCCATGAGCATTTTGTGAAAAATGGCTGTTTTCATTGAAAAATCTCCGGTTACAAGTTCAAATTGCTCTAAAACTATAAAAACTGCTTCAATACTAATCAAACTTGGCACAAGTGTTGCCTGGACCATTGCCTTTTCAACAACATGGTCTGGCTTAACTTTCCTGTTACCATGGAAACGAGGGGACATCTCAAAATTGCCAAAAATCACTATTTTGCGTTGATTTTTTTCCATCGAAATTGATTTCAAAGTCCTGCAACTTTTCAATAGATTGAGATAGAGTCACGTGCTTTTCAGCGTTCGTTACAAGTTACCTTTTGATCGATCTGGGGTCATTTTTAGCCTCTCACAAGTCCATTTTTTTCTTGGCAATGAGGGGGACTGCCGCCCCCTTCAACCCCCCCCCCCAAAAAAAAAAAAAAAACAGCAACGCCAACCCCCTGATGTGTATTTTGGGTTGGGGGCCGCGCCGAAAAAGTGGTCTCTTTTTAAACAACATTTCTCAAACAAAAACAAGTGTTGGGGGCCTAAATAAGGCATTTTTACACCATTTGAGACAACAAGGGGGATGTGAAAAAGGCGTTAAAAGGCGTGTATATCGCGTAATGGGTTAATAGAAAATACTTCTGTGTGATAAAAGAATACGTTTACTGATTTTCTACGTTTTTTATTTTAAAAAAAAACACACACACACAAAACCGACAAATAAGCAAAACAAACAAAACTGGGCTTTATCAAAAAGAATATTTTGATTTATATACAAAAATAAATAAACAAATATAAAAAATATGCAAATATGTACAATTTCATATTCACTTATAACTTAACATCTCTACATGATGAATATACAATGCGTATTTAACAGTGACAATGAAACCTTTTTCATTTTTTTAAACAACAGAAAAAAACAGAGAAAGAGAGCAAAGCTTACACGTCAGTATATTATAACAAACTATCCCTCAATTTAAAAGCTTTATCACAGAATATAACTTAATTTTTCAAAAACTATTAAACCATTACCAATTCAAACGATATTAAGTTGACAAAAACTTGTAAAATACGGACATGATAATATGTATTCAAGGGACAATATCAGCCAAATGTACTGGTATACATACTTCTAAGTTATTACACACTTTGATAAATACTTTTGTTAGCTTAGCACGTGAAGTTCTTAACTACAAAATAAAGTGAGAGAGCAGAGTTTTGAGAAAGAAAAAAATATGAAGAAATAACACGTATCAGTATTATTCACTTGGAAACACTATTTAACTATCATAAGTTTTTCGTTCAAAACAATGTTTAGTAAAACATGATGGCTTTACATGCTTAAAGTAAATGTAAAATTGCAAATAATTGTTGCACCTAGATATTTAAGTGTTAAGTGTATATAAGTGTTAAGTCAACAATATTTCAAACCGCATAACAAATGAAGCTCTCTGACTTCCATTTTCCATTTTGGCCTGATTGTATTTGAAACAGCTTTGAACATTTATGATATTATATAATATTAAGCATAATATGTGTAAGCTTGTCTCTTTGAAATATTTTCTGAATCCCCGCCCCCAAAACAACAAGAACAAAAACACAAAAACACACACACACAACAATAACAACAACAGAAAAAAACATGCCCCCCACTAAAATCTTACTTAAACAGCAGATTAAAATCAGATTGAAAAACATTATTTCAATTAGAATGTAAAGGCTAAATTCTGCCGGTATATGATGATATTGGAGTGGGTAAATTAAATCTGATGAGTTACTGAAGACGAGATAACCCAAACAATTAACAAGACTGTCCATTAACATAATCAATCGAAATATCTTTCTGCATAGTATTTATATGCTTTAAATCAATTAAGTTTTTTTTTCAGTCGAGCTTCCATCATCAGTTTCACCATCATCCATGTATATAAACTAGGTGGTCGTGGTCTCGTCATATATATGTTAATTTTTTAAACTTCTTTATTTTTTAAACCTCTATAGAGCCATTCTTTATCGTGAAAGTATCAGTTTTTGTTAGTAATGAGTCTAAAAATTGACATAAATTATAAACTTAGTTTCTAGAAACTTAAGACAATATAGCTAGGTAATTAATAGTTTGATTATTTTATTCTTGTTGTTGTTGTCAATCCACTGCATCATCATTTTTCAATCGTAACGGAATCTTTTGAAGTTGTTTCATTGTCTGTTTCAGGTTGAACAAACAGGATAGCTGGATATGCCATCCGCTGTCATTTCCTAATTTGGCGGTCACACTCTCGTCGGATCTGTTCTCTATTGGCATCATTTATCGTATAAACATCTGTTACTAGCTTTAACCTGTGGTCTACATTTGGGTTGTTTGAGACCGTAGGACGACCGCTAGGTTGTTCAGTAATGGGTCTAGAATATGAACCTGACTGTTCGGTAATGGACGCGGAACTAGCCATGCGCCCTACGCTCATTGCATCTACTTTGTTACCTTTATGATATTCTACTGAAAATAAGTGAATGAAATAATGGTTAACCTGAAAAAAACCTTTAAGCTGCATGCCTTCAGAGCCAAACTATTGAAAACAAGAGGGTCAAGATGGCCCTAGATCGCTC